TTGTTTAATGCCTTGTCCCCTTGCATTCTCAATGTGTTCTGTGTCCACCTGTCCCCTGTGCCATTGGTGGGTGTTCTCTCTGCCTGGTGCCTCCCCTTCCTGCCGGCTCCCCTGGGGTATGGGTGGACAGTGTATAATGCCAGACTGCAGGACCTGAGGCAGAGTGGCAGCTCTCGACCCTCTCTCCACCGGCTCCGATCTGCCTCCCTCTCTGGTGGGTTCCTCCTCCTCCAAAGCTCTGGACCCTTGCTTTAACTCCCAGCTTCTCTCCCATTCTCTTCCCCATAAGAATCCTTCCAAACCTCTCTCCTCCTTTCTTTCCTGCCTTCCCTCCTCCCCTAGGCCCTCCCTCCCTTCTGCTTGGCTGAAGGCCTGATGCTTTTAGCTTGGCCTTGCCTGTTGAGCACAGGCTCGGAAGCAATTAGGGGACCTTTCAGAGTGCCCTGTGGAAGATGTCGGTCTTTCCACTGAGGTGTCCAATGAGGGTCCCAGCTGCTTATCCTCAGCCACCCCAGATGGGATGGCTTGGGCCAAGACTCGGAAGGAGCCAGACTATGTTTTCCCTGGGACCACTACATGTAAGACAGGAAGAGGTGTCCCAATACCTCTTTTGCTACACAATACCCCTCTGATGCTAGGACCGGAGGCCTGCACCCTGCCTGTGCCTGACTGTGACTTTGGTCAAGTGTCTCGACTATTTAGCGCCCACATCCCCAGTCTGGAAAGCCCTGCCTTGCGTTTGTGGCATTGTGCTTCGACACGCTATAGATGTGGTGGTCCTACATCAAGTTCCTGTTAGCTGATTCCAGGACTATGTCCACTAGTGTCCCCAGCCTCTGCCAGAAATGCCTTTTCTGCTCATTCCTACCTTTGAAGGCCAGTATCAGGGAAGAGACCATGTACCCACGTTACCCCAATGCCAAGGCCTTAAGCAGTTCTAGGCAAAAGGGGGTCTCCACTCCTGATAGCAGTGTAATGTCTGTTGTTGCCCCATGGGTCCTTCAGTACCAGTCTACAGATATTCAGGAGATGGCTTTGGCATCTTGTCCCTCCCTCTCCTTTCTTCTCCCTCTGCTTTTTCTTGGCCCAGCAGTGAGGAGTGGAGTGTAAGCTGGTCTGGGGCTCTATTCAGGTTCTGGGCAGTAGACCCGTCCCGAGGGGAGCTGGCATGGCTTGCCCTAGAGCTGCTGGTCTTCTCTTGTGTGGCTTTCTAGTGCCCTGGCCCAGCAGGTGGCTTCCATCCTGGATCCTTACTTCTGGAGCCCTGGGCACGGAGCCGGATACCCAGTCCTACCACCCGGAGCTGAGGAATCCAGTCTTTTGGAAATTGGAAGACTGGAAGGAAGAGTTGGGTCTGCGAGGGTGGGGGTGATCAGTATGTGGGTCCATGGGAGAGGCCTCTGCTCTGACTGTGTGGTGCTGTGTGACTCTGGGTGATTCTCCGTGTGACTCTGAAAGAGTGGTTTGTCAAAGTGTTGGAGCGGGTATGTGTATTAGTATGTGAATAGCTCTATATCTCTAAATAGAGATGTGTAATCATATGCATGCTATCTGTTCTAAGACACGTTGGGCAGAGAACTGTCCCTCTAGTCGTGGAGGCAGTGAGGGCAGGGGCTGACTATACAGTGCTCCTAGGTGTGTGTGGCAGCTATCAGGCCACGATGACTCTCTGTCTAAATAAGGTAGGGGACGATCTGGTGCCAGACCCACATAAAATAGCTCTTAGAGAACAACACCAGACTGACAGGGGCATCCTGAGCTCAAAGGTCACCTCCTCACCATCAGAGCATCCCACTTCTCTGTACTCAGCAGCCTGGTGGGGAGAACCTTCCAGAGTCCTTTGTTGGCTTCACTTTTCCTCCTTAGCTTCCTCTATCCCTAAGGCCTACTATAGGGGAAGTTAGGGACCAACCAGATCACTTGTTCTGTGGCCCTTCTTGTGGGGCTAAGAAACACACTCTCTGTCTCTGTGTCTGTGTCTGTCTGTCTCTCCCTCTGTCTCTGTGTCTCTGTGTCTGTCTCATTCTCTGTCTCTGTCTCTCTGTCTCTCTTTCTCTGTCTCTCTCTCTGTGTCTCTGTGTGTGTGCGCGCGCGTGTGCGCATGTGGTTCTGTCTGTATCCATGTGGTAAACAAAGGATTAGAGAGAAAGAATAGCCAGGAGATAAAGTCCCCAGTGAAGGCCTGCATATGGAGCAGGCCCTCTTTTGGTATTCAGTTAGTTTTGGGGATATAAGAGGGCTGTTTTCTCCTTATTTCTGTCTCTATACCTTTCTCTCTATCTCTCTGCTTCTTCCCTGCCTCTCTCTGTGTGTCTCTATTTTTGTTTCTCTCTCTCTTCTCTGTCTCTTTCTGTCTCTCTGTCTTTCTCTTTCTCTGCCCCTGGTTGTCAGCTGGTGTCCAGAGTCACCAATTGGCTGAGGAACAATGAGGCTCTCTTCTCTCCCCTTTACTGTGTCAGGCTTCCTCTCATAGAAAGAGACTAAAGAGAGGGACCATAGCTCTCCAAGCACTCTGGGTTAACGATGGGCTTGCCAAAGGGGACAACAGTGAGCCACTGTGTTCCAAGACTGCGTCCCTGACTGGCTGCCGGTGACATGGACCACTCTCTGGGAATGGTCAGTCTTTTGGCAGTGGAATGTGTATGTGGGGTCTTTCCTTTTCTTCAAGGGCAAACTTTGTCCTGCACTCCCCTCACACTTTGGAGATCACTTGGTCCATCCCCCTGCCTCAGGTCAGAGCATATTCCCATGTGCCATCCTGGCAGTGACAGGGAAGGGAGCTGAAAAAATTCAACTATACATGCTATCAGGTAGCTGACCACTCCTTCTGGTGACCCAGCACACCTCAGGCTGGGTCCTTACTCTACTGTTGCCTTCTATGGACCTGGGCTTGGGGGCAGTGCCAGGAAAGGATGGATGAGAATGTCCTGTCTCCCCACTCTAGGAGGGTGACTGCAACAGAAACAGACCTCCTTTTCAAAAGCCAGCACGGGACCCCGAACAAGGAAGTGACTGCTCTTGAAAAAGCAGAGGGGTTGCCAGAGACTGGTGGTGTCGGTCGGGTGAGGGGTGCCCCTGGAACTGAAGGCAACTCTCACATGGTTCCTTCCGCCTTGGGTCTGAACTCGGCTCTACCTCCAGAGCATTTGTCAGTTGTTCCTTTGTCACAACATTATTAGAGAAGCAATGTCTGTGTCTGCTTCTCTCTAATGTTTCTGCCAGGAATAAACCAAGAAGGAGGGCCAGGGCTGGTCCACACTTCCCAGAGGCCTGCGCTGGGCAGGGCCTGCTTGGGGGGAAGAGGAGCAGGATTGAAGCCAGAGGCTGCTTGAGTTCTGGGAGCTTAGTGTTGCTGGCAGAGTCTGGTGTGGCTGCAGTTGTCCAGAGCCACACCCTCTCTTTACTCTCTGTAGATGTCCCTGGCAGTCCCTCCTCAGGACTGACATACCCTCTATTTTTCTTTTCTGGAAATCAGGGCATTCTGAGGGTAGGGGCTTGTTTGCTTTGAGAAAGTTTGGGACAGACAGGATGAAGTCCGTCTTGGTTTTCACTGTGCAGGTAGGAAAGCTGCCTCTGGGTAACAGCACAAATTGGAGACTCTGGTGTGCCTTCTGCCTTCTGCTTCTAATGTGTACCACCGGCAGCTGGTCTTGCTATCCTCTGTCAGCCCCCCAGGGCCTCTATCACAGAGCACGTGCATGGGCATCACAGTAACTGTGTGTGAATGAAGTGGTTCTGCCCCAGCACTTTGCTGTTCACATTAAGCAGGAAGAAGGCTTCCTGGGCAGTGCAGGCCATGGCAACCATGTGGCTGTGGCAAACGAGGGGTTGGGGACCACCTGGGCTGTGCAGATTCCTTTATAGAGGATGAGAGGGGATTCAGCCTCCCTAAGGGTGAGCCCTACTGGATTGTCTTGGCTATGTTCCTAAAGGCCAGCACTGCATGTGAGTGTTTATACATGTATGTGTACATGCACACACTCCTTCTTGTGACTAAGGACAGGGTCCCAGAGGTGTGTTCATGTCCCGTGCTCATGTGACCTCAGCCCCTTTGTTAGTGCTGGTGTCAATGATGACATCGATGAGACTTGAAAATAATCAGGCCTAGGATCCCACCCTCAGGGTTGGGCCTTGGCTCCCGAGACCTGGGAAGTCAGTATTCTAGGATTCTGGGAGCCAGCACAGTGCAATAATGGATTCCATGCCTTGGGCCAGCTGTAGGGAGAGAAGATGGAGAGGAGGCAGGGTGAGGCTAACATGGGCAGCCTTTGTGGTGAGCTGAACAGGAAGTGAGGAAGTGGGGACAGGAAGACGGAGCCCTTTGTTCATCTTTGCTTGCCCTCTGCCAGGATAGGGTATGGTGGGAGTCTACCATGGCCACAGCCACCATGGGTTGATGAGCAAGAGGAGCAGCTGTAGGGGGAGTTGGTTAGAGGTTTCAGGGGTGCGCTGGATAAGAGCCAGGGAACTCCTGAGATCAGATCCACCACAGAAGCCTGTTGTGGTTGAAGACTCCAGAGTGTGATTTGGTCATTCCTTTGTTTTCCACTGGGAGCACCATGTGCAAGATGATGCAGTTTAGTCCTTTCCAAAAGCCCTTCCCAAAGGCTCCATGTTGCTTGTTGGTTGATGTAGTTGCCTTGGAGACCTTCCCTTCCCTCCTCTGGAAGTTCTGGCCTTCTGCCTCTGGGGGCTGGAAGGAGCTGACATCTGTTTCTTGTATCAGTCCTTTGTGCTCTCCGTCCAAATCCTATGCAGGGTAGAGACTCCTCTTAAAGGCAGAGGCCAAGCTAAGTAAGTCCCCCCGCCACCCACTGGAGGACATTTAGGATTTGAATTGAGTTGGGGACAGGAAGACATGGTGAAGGGGATTGAGGGGATGTGGCCCACTCCAGCTTAGCCCCCAGCCGAGGTGCTGCCTTTGTGTTTGGGGGTGTTAGGTGGGATTACATCATTCTTTATTCTACTGATTGCTTTCCGTACCCTGCCCTTCCTCCCAGGGGTTCAGGCTCGGGAGAGGCAGCCTGCAGAGCCCCCAGCCCCACTCCGGAGGCGGGCAGCCAGTGATGGACAGTATGAGAACCAGTCTCCGGAGGCCATATCCCCCCGTAGTCCTGGGGTCCGCTCCCCCGTCCAGTGCGTCTCCCCTGAGCTGGCTCTTACCATTGCCCTCAATCCAGGAGGGCGCCCCAAAGAGGTGAGTCCTTGAATAGATGAGTCCAGGAGGCACAGCAGGGAGCAGAGTCCGTGGAACATTCCCAGGAGCTTGAGAGTCAACTGCTATTACCCCTTGAGTGATTCCTCCCTCCCTGGTCCTTGCCCAAGGTATCCTCTCTTCAATAGCATTTGTACCCCAACATTTTGCTTTAACACCGAAACTAAAAGTCCCTTCTTGATTCAAAGAAAGAAAATTCTTTAGGAGGTGACAAGCATCATGGGGTGGCATATGGTACTCCCAAGACTTAAAGTCCCAAAGTGGGTCAGGTAGACTGGCAAACATCTTTTTGAGCCTTTGAAAAATAAGGCTCTTTTTAGGACGTTTAATTTTGTGCCCAAATCATTCCATTGCTGAGAAATTTCAGTAGTCAGAGACAGTGGGCCTTGAACTTCCATGGCAGAAGAACTGACAAGGAGTTTGTTTAACCCTTACATTTCCAAATGCCTCTGCAGAGACTCCAGCATAACAGATCTATTACAGGACCAAGGAGTGTGCATTTTGAAATAGCCTGACTCACTTACAACTTCGTGCCTAGGGCATTGTTCTGCAGAGGCAAGGCCCTTTTCTGTGACCTTTTCTGAAGCAGTTCTGCCTGAGCTTTAGTGTGGACTTGCAAACAGCCACTCCCTTCTTAGCCACCGATAAGGATTTGTTGAGACAGTGAGTGGCCAGCATTTGGGCTTACCTGGGTGAGGGAGAGAGTCAAGCTGGAGAGCGAATATGTGGGCAGCCAAACCTGCTGCCCTCATGCCCAGGATCACCTGAAGAGGAACCTCTCCTCAGGGCTTCCTTCTCTTGCCCCCTCTGTTCTCCCGGCAGCCCCATTTGCATAGCTACAAGGAGGCCTTTGAGGAGATGGAGGGGACCTCCCCAAGCAGCCCGCCACCCAGTGTGGGTAAGAGCACCTGCTAAGCCTATTTTTCCCATGTCCTCTTCAACATTTCCTCATTAGTCTGTGTGATTGTCCCAGGTGTGGAGTTGTGGGGAGAGTCAGTGGAGGGGGGAGGGGCTGGAACTGATAGCTTTTCACTCCACAGCCCACCCCAATCTACTCTATCACTCTGTGTCCTCTACTGTCTACTCTCAACCTAAGGATGAGACCGCCAAGGACTTAGCATCCAGAATGTTTGACTGCAGGTCCTGACTCTATATTATGGAGCTTTCTGTGTAGACTGACTCAGTTTTCCCATGCAATACTAGTAAGAAATCCTCTCCCACCAGGACCATTGCTGCTTGTCCTCACTCTTGTTTCTGATGCCCTGCCTGTCTGCATCCAGGCACCTTCATCTCGGGCACCCTGTGTCACTTGTACTCTCATACACATATTTGCTCTTTCACACAATCCTTGACCTCCCAGAAGGGAATTTAGTTTTGCATTTCCAGTGTATTCACTGGAGCACTGGAGAGGCTGGTCCCTGAAGGACAGACAGAGAGGACTGCTACATGTGCAATATGTTGGTTGGTCAGTGTTTCTTTCTGTAGGGGAAGTACCTTAAAAGGATGTGATAGGGTCTTACCAGGTGGTAAGGGATACAAGACCCTACAGAAAGTAGAGATGGGTGATGCTCGGGTCTTAGGTAGTCTGGGGCTGGCCTGAATGTCCAATAGTCCCCGAGAGAAGGAAGGCCAGCAGGAAGGGTTGACTGAGCCTGACTGTGCGTCCCCTGGTGTATGGCTGTCCTTCACAGGGACAGAATGTAGACCGTGTATGGTCTGCTATCCTAGGCATACAGAAAGCTGAAGTAGGACTGGGATAGTCCTGGGAAGCAAGACTCCTGATGCCCAGTGACACAGCACACACACACACACACACACACACACACACACACACACACGCAGGCACACGCAGGCACACGCATACACATGATTTAAAATTCCCTATGTGTCAGGATGCTAGTGAAATCAGTTGTAGTAACTTTTTATTAAATCTGAAAAATTGTCATTTCAGTAGAGAAATCAATTTTTCAATATCAATGTTTTATTGAGATTGTCTATAATATAAAAAAAATGTTATGAGATGACTTAGTGGGTGAGGTGCTTGCTGTGCAATCATGAAAACTTGAGTTTTGACCCCTACACAAGAAAAGCCAGGAGCACCTGTAGTCTCAGCTCTGGAATGCAGAGACAAGCAGATCCCAGGTGCTGGCTGGCCAGTCTCGCTGAATCCACAGACCTAATCTCAAACTAAGATGGAAATTGATAAAGGAAAACACTAGCTCTCAGCCTCTGGCTTCTGTGTGTGCGTGCTTCGGGCACGTGGACGCATACACATGAATATACTACATATGTACACACGGAGAATTTTCAAGGATACCAGTGACATTAGTGTTAGTATTATTTTTATATAACTCTAATCTAAAATATTGAGTTGGCAATATTGACATTTTAAAAATGAGCCAAGTATGGTGATACACACTGGTAATTTTATCACTCAAGAGGCTGAAGCAGGGGAATTGTGAGTTTGAGACGTAGAATCTGTCTCAAGACACCCCCCCCCAAAAAAAACCCCTCTCAAAACAAAAAAATGAAAACAAAATACTAAACACACTCAAATGTTATTTTGTGTTATTTATTATTATTATTATTGAACACATATTAAATTCCTGTGTGTATTTTGTATACCTAGCACAGCTCAGTTCAGATTAGCTAACTCCAAAAGCTAAGAAGCCAGGTGACCCTAGAACAGTTATACAGACCTAGGGCACCCTGCTTAAGAGCTTTTCATGAGGGTAGATGCCATCTCTCTCTAGGTCTTGCCCTATACCTTTACAGCTCCTCCCACTCACCCCTGCATCCCTGAGGGCTGGATAACCCCTGCTGGGAATGGAAGCCACGTTAATTGTACCAGAATTGTGTCCTATGGCTAGTCATGGGTGCCCCAGGGACAGATCTAAGTCAGAAGTTTCCTAAATGCCTCGGGCTGGGGCGAGAGGTTGGAAGGCGGAGAAATGCAAGGAATGTTTCTCTCAGGAAGGAGAGGGCTTCTTGTTTGCAGAGTCACCCACTCCCTACGTCAGTAGAAGGGCCACATTGCTTGGGTCTGGGAAGCCAAAGATAGGGGCGGAGAGGAGAAAATGAAATAAAGCCTTCTGCTATTTCTGACCCCCCTTCCCTTTCTCCTTGATGCCTTGCCCCTCAGTTGCACCTGCTGGGCAGCAGATGTCATCCAGGATGGGGACTTCTCCCACAAATCCTGCTCTCAGCAGCTCATTCTTCCATGCTGATGCCATTTGAACAGGCATCTGGGTAACAAACATTACTAAGTGACAGAAAAGCGCTTATGAGCAAACCATGCTGTTAGCCATACAGCATAGGGAGCTGATGTGGAGAGAGCAAGGGAAGAAAGACCTCGCCTGATTCAGCCACGGAAGTGTGTGTTGCATGCATTTGTCCGTTGAGGTGCCCAGGGATAGAGAAAAGATGTATAGAAGCAGGTCTCATCTGTACACGTGATGTCCCCTGTTTGGGTACATGCATGTGCGTGTGTGTATGTGTGAGTGTGTGAGTGTGTGAGTGTGTGAGTGTGTGTGTGCGTGTGTATACTCACCTGCAGACACACACAGATAAGCTATGTCTGCTGCTGCTCACACCAAAGGATGGTACTTCGTTGTTGCTGTTTGTTTCTTAAAATAACAACCATGAAGCCAAGTTTGGGTCCTGGGCATATGCAGGCTACTTACTACTCACCTGTTGAAAGCCATGGATAGCAGGGCATGTCCTTAGGGACTGTGTTTCTCCTGGCTGTCAAGAACCCAGACATGAGCCCCAGGCCTTATTTCTTTACTTCTTCACAGAGATGTGCTAGGATACATGGCAGCTGCCACTGAGTTATCTCGTGACTGGGCACGATACTCCCCTGTTGCTTGGCTCAAAGTCCTTGGCTGATGGGAAAAAAGCTCGGTAGCCCTTTCTGACCTCGTGTGATATGTGACACTTGTAACCCAGAAGGGCCACTCAGGAGGAGCCTCATTTCACTCAGGAAGCTGTGCTCTTGACAGAGGAGTGCTGGGTTCTCCTCCCAGAGTTCTAAGCCTTACTCTAACAAGGCTTCTCTTGCAATTTTGAATGTACTGCATGGCCAAGGGCTGCTGAGTTTCAGGTGAGGTCCCTGCCTGTGATGTTCAGCTCAACTTTTCAAGATGTGTCCTATAGAGACTGTTGTTAGCTTGTCTTCCATTTGTGTGCATGGTTTACACAGACTGTGTGTATGCACGTGCGCGCACGTGTGTGTGTGTGTGTGTGTGTGCGTGCGCATGTGTAGGGAATACTGGGGAAAGAGAAAGTGGCAAGATACTAACTAGTCTTAGAGAGAGGCAAAGACACTGGAAGAAGCCTACTGTGTTTAATAAGTCTTCATGAGGTAAAGGGACTGTAGCTGTAGGGAGGAGCCATAGAGGTCTCTCAGTGCTGGGGAAGGGTCAGGACAGGTTGTCACTTCAGAACTCTCTCTCTTTCAAGCTGAAATGTGGAGGCAGGGAGGGTCAGGGGAGGCAGTTCAGCAGGGGTGGGAGGGGGCTGCAGGGCTGACTCTTGGTTGCCCAGGCCTCACCAGTAAACACCCTTACTGTGATGTGACCTCATTTCCTGCATCTCCCCTTCTTCTTTCCACACAGCGCGCTCTCCTCCAGGTCTGGCTAAGACACCCCTGTCTGCTCTGGGCCTGAAGCCCCACAACCCAGCAGACATCTTGCTGCACCCTACAGGTGGTGAGTGTCTGGAAGGGAGGGAGGGAAATGACCAGGGAGGCCAGGAGAACCTAGTAGCCCTGGGCAGGTCTTCTCAGTAGATTCCTCACAGAGCAGAGGTTTGGGGACCTTCCTGGGAATGAGGAGGCCATGAATGAGGCCTGGAAAGGGGGGGGTGCTCTGCAGACATTAGGGTGTTCTTCCTGCCTAGTGCTATCTTCTGGGCTTTAAGTTTTTGAGACCTGTTTCCAGTTTTGTTGGAGTTGGTCAGCCCTACTTGAAGCCTGACCTCCAGGCCCGTGTCCCAGCACTTTTGTATGTGTGTGTACACATAGGTGTGTAGAGAGACGTGCCTGCTGTTTGGTGACAGCCTCTCACCCTTATCACAGCCCAGTGGCTCCTGTGCATCCTCATGACATCAGCGGATGTCATGGATGTAGTCAAAGGAGTGTAGGCACCTTTTCTTGTTTGCCCACAGAGCTTTGCCTGAGAAATGAGTCACTCCCAGTACCCATGCTGTCTGCCCTCCCTCCAACCCCCAACTGTTTTACCTTCAGCTCCAATTTCTTCTTCCTATAAAGGTGCCTACTGCCTCCAAGCAGACTCTGGCCACCCCTGTGTTCACATGCTCAGTGTCAACAGCCTTTGACCCTGAAAATAGGAGCTGGGCTCCAGGGGCTCCCCCAACCCCCCCAAGATCACCTGTATTAATTATGAGGTGGATAACCACGATGAGAGGGGGATGGTTACTGTCTGCAGTGAATGGTCACCAGACCTATCCCTCTATTTCCTGTTCATCCCCTAGTATCTTTCTGTGGGGAGGGAGACAACAGTCCCGGGACTTTCGATGGCAACTGGGAGTCTGCTGAACTAGAGAGAAACTCCGGTTTTAAAGCTGAGCTGGGGCTCTTGGGGTCAACTTTTGCTTTTTTCTTTAGTTGCCAGAAGACTGATCCAGCCAGGTAAGAGGGCAGTGATATGCACTTGTGAACAATGCAGGCACTGGCTTAGGCACAGCCTCCACATGCTCCACATGTGATCGTGGGCAGACACACCCAGCCATCACAGGGATGGAGGGCCAGAGGCTTTCTCTCACTAGCCAGCATGCTATTACCTGATGCTCAATCCACACAAGGCCTGGCTGCAGAGGCTGGGAGGGACCAGGCCCCCGAGTGAGGTTCTGTACAGAGTAAATCTCAGCTTCCAGCCTCCCTTTCTTCAGCAAATTCTTTCTCTAGAAGTAATCCTGATAACTTCTCTCTCTCTTTCTCTCTCTTTCTTGTCCTGGCTCTTCCTCTCATCTTCATCATCTGCCCTTCCTTCCTGCCTCTCCTCCTCCTGTCTCTCTTCTCCTCCCTCAGAAGAGGATGAGGGAGAGGAGGTGACTAAGCCTCCAGAAGGTAAGTGCACTTAGCTGTGTGTGTCTCCCACTCTCTAGGTCTGTGGATGGCTTTTCACATGGAGTTTGAGAAGGCTGGCTTGGGATAGATCTCTTTTCTCACCTGCTCTCAAGTGACTAGGCATATAGCCTTCCTGTCCCCACCGTCTGACAATGAGATGCTACTCTGGGCACTGCCTGAATGCTGCCTGGGAAATTTGTTGCCACTGGGCACCAGTTCAGGCACAGCTAGTATCCAGGCGCCAGCATGGTGCCACCTTGTTGACAAAAATACCCCTTGTGCCACTTCCTTTCCCAGAGGCACATGTGCCACCTGGCCCGTGTGCAGTGTACACAGTGGGACCGGGAGGGGTAGAGGGAGCAGGACCTCTCGCGCCCACTCAGCCGTTTAAGCCTGTGCAGGTCCTTCTAGAGGCTATCCTGTGTACTGAAAGTGTATAGCTGGCTCTCTCTTCCTGAGTATTGGTGACATTCGTCTGGCAACAATACCTTCAATAGAACCAGTGTCGGCTTGCTGTTCGAGCTAGGTACTTTTGTATCTCCGTGACAGTGAGCTGACAGCCCTTAGGGCAATGGTTTGTTTGGGTTCATGGTTGAGGAGAGATTTCGGTCTCTTGTGACGGGAATGGAATGATGGGTCAGCTTATTGATGGCAGTGAGTGTGTGATAAAGACTGTTCATATCACTGAAGCCAAGGAAGCAGAGAAAGAAGCAGCAATCAGGGGTGGGCATTCCCTTCAAAGGCCATCTTCTGATACTCCCCCTGCCCCTTAATGGTTCCACAGCCTCCCAAAGTGGAGCCATCAGCTAGTGACTAAGTGTTCAAAACATGAGCCTGTGAGGGACCATAGTGAGATAGTATCCCTAGTTTAAAGTTACAGTCCTAGAGCTATGATTTATTTCCTATGGGCATAGTGGCATGAAATATATCTTTCTGAAACCTGGACGCCTGTAGTTACTGCAGGTTGGTTAAGGGCTCACTCCCATAAAAAATGCCTGAGGACATCCATGTACAATCCTGAGAAGCAATTGTTCCACCCCCCCATAACTTTATTTTATGTGTGTGTGTGTGTTGTGTGTGTTTGTGTGTGCTGCACATGTACACATGGGTACATGCATGCCATGATATATGTATGAAGATCAGGGGAATCAATTTTCTCTTTCTACCATGTCTGTGTGTGGGATCAAACTTAGGAACTCAGGTTGTCAGGCTTGGTGGCAAGCCTTTACCCACACACTCTTTACCCACTGGTCCATCTCACCAGACCCCTGAAAAATACTTTTAAGGAGATCACAGTTGATCTCAGCTGTGGGACCAGCCTAGCCCTGGTTTGAAGGAAGCCTGGTGTTGTTCCTTGACAAGAGGAGGGGCTGTGATCTGGCAGAAGAAGGTTAGCTCAGGAGGGTAGATGTTCAGTAGAGACTCATGGTGGTCATGGAATAAGGGACGCTGGCCTGAGTGGCTCTGATGTGTCTCTGGGCATGCATATCCTCACCTCCACAGGAAACGTTAGATAGGTGATACCAAGGTTCCCCCCAGCTGTGCTAGGTGTTCCCACCTTGGGGCTTGGCTCTATGTGGCCATTTCTATAGGGCAGTGGTTCTCAACCTTTGTAATGCTGCAGCCCTTCAATATAGGTTGACGCCCCCAACCAAAAATTTACTTTTGTTGCTACTTCATATGTGTGATTTTGCTACTGTTATGAATTGTGATGGACATATCTGACGTGCAGGATATCTGGTATATAACCCCCATGAAAAAGTCATTTGCTCCCCCTAAAGTGATCGCGACCCACAGGTTGAGAACCACTGTGCTATAGGGACTTAGTTTGGTTTTCTTAGGTTTGCTTTCTTCTGCACTGAATGCTTTGATTTTCACCCCAGCATGGCTAAGTTCCTATGGACTTTTGGTTCCAGGTGTGATGGTGGTGACTTCCTGAGAAGCTTCACTGACTTCTCCATGTTTTTAATTAATTATCTTAAGTTTTAGATTTATTTATTTTATGTGTATGAATGTTTTGTCACAGTGCATGCACTTGTGTGCCTGGTGGCTGTGGAGGTCAGAGGATGGTGTGGAATTCTCTGGAACTGGAGTTACAGGTGGTTGTGAGTCACTGTGTGGGATGGGAATTGAACCCAGGTCCTCTACAAGAGCAACACGTACTCTAAACTGCTGAGCCATCTCTCCATCCCCATTTGCTGGTTTCTAACAGGCCCGTTTAGAAGCTGCAAAGTAATGCAGACCCAGCTGCAGATCTGGGAAGCTGGGGTCAAGGCTACTTGCATGCAGGGGATGAGCTTTCTCTAGACTGCTTCCCACAGCCTCAGTGCCTGACAGTACAGAGAGGTTCAGGTCCTGAGTGCGGGTAGCTAACTCAGTACAGGAGTGGGCTGTCAGACTCCAGGGAGAAAGTCACTGAGTAGGCACACAGGCCCTGGCAGTTCTGTTCTGCTTCTGGGTGACAATCAGCAGAGTGAATATTGACCGAGCTGCAGTGAGGCCTCCTAAGTGTGCTTGACAAATGACTCTCAGCTTATGAATTCCCTACCCTCCAGCTGCCTTTGTATCAGAACAGAGGAATTCTGAAGGGAAGGCTTCTTGAGATCCATCCAGCCACGCCTGTACTTTCAGGGATGTGGAGCTAAGGTCTGGGTTATGTTGGGGGTGAAGGACCCACCCAAGGTCACAGCCGAGAGTCAGCAGGGCCAGACTGTACTGCTGGGCCTCCTGTTACCTAGTCAAAGGGCCCGTCTAAGTGCACCTTTGTTTGTAGCCAGGCTCAGTGACCTGGGCTTCAAGCTTGGGAGTGGGTGGTGAAGATTAAAGCCGAGCTACCAGTTCTACATTTCATAACTCAGGCGCCGCCTCCTGGGTCAGCCCAGGCCACATTCTTTGTTGACCCTTGGAAGCTATGCTTGATGTCCCTGCTGATACTTTGATGGGAAATTCAGAAAAAGAGGCTTGTGAGGAGAAATGATCAGCGGCAGAATTCTTCAGCTGGGGAAGGAAGAATTTGAGGGATGTTTGCTCTGTTCAAGCCACTGGACTAAATATATTTGTGCATTCTTTTCTTCATTGAGGCACCAAGTCAATCACTGTTCTGTGTGCCTGCTATGCAGCCGGCAGCGGGCCAGGCTCTGGGGAGATAAGCTATGCTTCTTAATCTCATGATCGTTTTCATCAGTGAATAAGAATTGTGTATGGAACATTTTCAAAGGAGGGAACATTTTCAAAGGAGGGAACAAGTTGTGTGGACATGCACATGGAATGACTTTAGCCTGGTAAACCTGGGTAGAGAAGAGGGAAATGTCATACATGGGCTCTGGGCTCAGATGTCATAACCTGTGTGTGTGTCTGTGTGTGTGTGTGTGTGTAAAGGCCTGAGGTTAATGCAGGATGACTTCCTCTGTCACACCCCACTTTATTTTCTGTGACAAGGTCTCTTGCTGAACCTGGGTATCGTCTGGATTTTGGCCAAGCTGGCTGGTCACTGAGCTCCAGGAATCCCTGTTTCCATCTCCCTTCTTTCCTGGTGCTGGAATTGCAGACACTTGCCACTGCTCCCAGCTTCTGTTTGGGTGATGGGGTTCAAACTCAGATCCTCATCTTTAAGCAGCAAGTTCTTTACCCACTAAGCCATCTCCCTAGTCCTCAGCTTGTTTGCTTCCCCCTAGAAACTTAAAAAAAAAACCCAATATAACTGGTGCACAGAACTTGTGCATGCTGTTTGTGCATGTGGTCTACAGTAAGGTTAAACAGACCTTGTGGGGTCAATGTCACATTATTTTTTTACTATTCATAACAGAGATGAAAGGAAGTAGTATAGACTCCATTTTATTAACAAGAGGGATTTGATGGCTTGCCAGGCTCATAGGGATCAGGGGCAGAGTTGAGAGTCTGTATCATTTCAGCATGTGGTGGCTGCCCCTTCCGGCGGGTGCACATAGTACAAGGGGCACCTGAACATCTGAACAGGGTTCTTTTCTGAGAGAGGAGGGAAAGACAGCTTACCACAGTGGATCTAGGAAGGCTTTCTGTGGTGGTTCTGTTTGTCCCTGGGGGTTCCACAAGGACAGATTTGGCAAAAAGGAAGATATTGTTTCTGGGGACTCTGATGCCTCGGAGATTCTTGGTGATGCTGTTTTGGAGCCATCAAAACAGGTGACCTGGTACAGAGTTGTCCAACACCTACCATACACCTGGCCACATGTCAGGGACTGAGGATCTAAGGATGAATGAGGTACCCAGGGAAGGCAGAAATCTTACCTTGAAGTAGCAGTGCTTGGGGGCTTAGAGGGGGTACATTTGTCCCAATACTAATGCTACCTCTAGATAAGGGGCTCATGGAGTCTCTTCACTTCCTTCTCCACCACCATGTCTTTAATATTTTATGTATGTATGTATGTATGTATGTATGTTTGTATGTATGTATGTATGTATGTATGTTTTCTGAGCTGGATTGAACCTAGGGCCTTGCACATGCTAGGCAAGTGTTATACCACAGAGACCTTCTCCCCACCCCTATATATCTTCATTTTATCAGGGTGGGCAGTACTGGCCTCTTTACTTCAGCCCGTTTTTTTTTTTTTTTTCCCCAGCGAGTGAGGTGATGAACTTGGGAATGTAGGTGAAGAGCAGCTGGCTAAGGAATAAGTGACCCTTGTATTTCATTGCTCCCAGCCGCCAACAACCACTTGGAATGGGTTTGGGCTCTTGGAATGTTCTTCACAAAGTACCCTCCCTGGCTCCACTTTTCCAGCCCTCCCCTGCTTGGTGGCCTATGGGTCAGCTGCTCCCTAGGAGACTGGAAGAGGAGGAGTCCTGCCCACCATCTCCCACCCCGCCCCAGGCCAAGAATGTGCAAGGGTGGAGGGAGGTTGAGGTCAAAGACCAATGTGGAACCAACCAGAATTACCAAGAACTAAAAGAACATGTCCCTTCACACAGGCTTCCATGCTAGGCAGGTGAGTGTTTTTACTCCAGCTTGACAGGGAAGTGGAGCTGAGTAGGCACTCAGCTGGGACAGAGTCACTACCTGGGTTGATTGGGTGTGATTCTGTTCTGACTCTGGGCGCTCTCTTAGCTTCCTGTTGGCAGAATATGGGCTTTTTAAAAAGAGAATTTAGCATAGAATGTGGTGCTTACCTAATGTGTGGGTTGAGGTCTTGGCAGAAGTCCATGGTTCATTCCAGTATGTGATTGAAAAGTTGAGGCCAAGAAGAGAGGGTGCAGAGTCCTGTGGGCTCCCTAGCAGGGTGGGAGCTGTCCCTGCCCACCCAGGAGCCAGTATAGCTGGGGATAAAGAGAGGATGGGCTACAACCTCACTTCTCCCTCCCAGTCTCCCTGTATCCCTGTATCCCTCTCTTCCCTGCTAGTGAAGACCCAGTCACTCCAGCCAAAGGCCAAAGCTATCTAGAGTCATAGAGCAAGAGGCCTGAGGTGAAACAGGTAAAATATGGTAGCTGTTAGGATGCAGATAAAGGTGAAGTGGGAGTGCGTAGGAAGAAGGTCAGAGTGCCACCAGTGTAGGTTTCAGCCTGATTTTCAAGGAGTAAAGACAGCAGAGTGTATGTATTGGGTCTGACTTCTTAGGCAAGGTGACGTCTAGATGGGGCTGGGAGGGAGGGTCATGTGACTCTGAACTTACAGGTCAGACATGCACAGAGGCCTCTGTGCCAGGTACTGTGGCTGGTGCCAGGAGCCCTTGCCAGGCAAGTGATGGCTGTGGGTTACATGACTCTCTTGGTGAGCACCTAGGGAAGCCTGGGAAATGTTCAGATGGAGTAGCAAGGATGGAGGGACAGGCCACTGGCTTCCCAAGTTTGGATGGTCTTATGACCTGTGAGGGACAGCTGGCTGGAAGACTGTCTGCCTGTGTACCGATGCCACTTCTGGCCACACTGGCTGGGTACTTACGCTCTCAAATCCTACAAACCTCACATGACTCTTGACTGGTTTGCCACTGTGGGTGACCCTGTCAATCTGGAATTTCTCTGGCTCATGCGTTGGTGTCCCCGTGAGACTGTGGGTCTCCTTAGGCCAGCCAGAACCTATATTGGGACATAGTTGGAGATGTGGTGTTAGCCACAGCCATAAGCTAGCTTTGTGACCCGAGCAAATTGCTCTCCTCCTCCGGGCTGAGAGGAGAGGTTAGATCAGAGTCAGCACTCTGGCCACTGACAAATTTACCTGCTACCTAGTTTCCTAAAGAAAATTCTGTTGCAGACAGCTGCACCCATTCATTTAGCTGTTGTTCGCAGACACTGTCATGCATGATGCCTGGCTTGAGTGATTGCGACAGTGACCATCTGACCTTTCCCACCTAAGCTATTTACAGAGAACCTGACCCGTTCTGCGTCATACGACCTCGCAGCATTTCCTCCTCCACAGTGCCAGGGCCTGGGGAGGCCAAGGTTCAAACCTCCTCTGTCAGGTCGGCCTGGGAAGCCTGCAAAGTGAGTGGTGGAGGCCTGAGCCACTCAAGGGAGGCTCTGCCTGCTCTTCCCACAAGCTGACCTCCAGCTCAGCTTGCCCAGGCGGCTGCTCCTTCAGCACCAGGGGTTGGGTGTGGACAGTGTGGAGCCTCTTATGGAGTGAGATCTCGACACTCCAGGTAACTCCCTTCTTCCCAAGCAGGTTTTCCTCCAGTGAGGGATCAAGCTATTCATTTATTTGTCTCAACTTTCCTTCATCCACCTGTCCCGAGGAATCTGGGGAGGGGCTCTCCTACTTAGGTCATTAGTCCTGGCTCTCAAGGGCTGCAGGGCCTGGCTCTCCCAGGTTGGCATCCTTTTCCCGGCTGGCTTTGGTGAATTCTATGGTTGTGGCAGCAAGGCATTTGTGCTCAGATCTTGTCCCTCTGGGGCAACAAAGATGGTGGCATGATCCTAGGTGATGGCAATGACATCCACCTCCTCCATATGATAATGTCTCCGGAGAAGCCCAGAACACTGATCCTTGTTCTAACTAGCATAGGGCTGATTTCAGGGCTGGCCTCTAAGGCCATGAGAGCCTGGGTTCAACATGCCTGGTCATTTTATTCTTCAGGCCTCAGTCTCATCATCTGTCAAATGCCCTTACTCTGAACATTAGGTAGAGGATACTGTGTATGAAACGTTTCTGTACAGGGCCTGGCATGTCGGTTGTACCATAGTGGACACAGAATGTCTGCCTCCACCTGGGCACGGGGTTCTTGGCGTCAGTCTTCCGGGGAATGTTGAGTGTGTTGTGCAGACGTGGGTGGGGTGTCTTGGCGGGAAGGGGCTGCTGAGTGTGTAGTAGCTAGCACTGGATATTGCTTAATGAGCAAGCTGGGTGCTATCCCGAGATATGGGTGAAGGTGATGGCTTTGGGGCTGCTCTAGAAGCCTAGAGCATCTAGGGACCCTGGTAGAGCTGGGTAGAAGTAAGGCTGCAAAGGGGAGACCAGCCTTGGACAGGCATCCGAGTTCTTAGCGGGAAGAGCTGGTGGCCTTTTGCAGAGCCAGAGCCTAGAGAAGCAAAGGCTTCTGAAAGCCAGTGCTCCTTAAAGCTCACCTCAGGCTGGGGAGTAAGGGCAAGCAGGAGCCTTACTAAAGCACCCCAACGTCCTGTGGAGGGTTTCCATGCTGACTCTTTCTTGGGCTGGACTCTGGGGGTGCTGTCTTCCCTGGTAGGGTGGGTGGATTCCTACCCTGCCTGTGTTCATTCTTACCTCCTTCCTTCTAGAGCCCAGGAGCTATGTGGAGTCTGTGGCGAGGACAGCAGTGTCAGGACCTCGAGCTCAGGATGTTGAGCCTAAGAGTGTCAGTTCACCAGCTGCCCATGCCTATGGACACGAGACACCCCTGAGGAACGGGACCCTGGGGGGCTCCTTTGTCTCCCCCAGCCCCCTCTCCACAAGCAGCCCCATCCTCAGTGCTGACAGGTAAGCCAAGAATGGGGGGCCACAGTGTGAGCATCTAGGCCTCTGGGATCTGCTCGGACTCGGAACGGGCAGAATCTCATCAAGACTGCTACTTTGGGAAGGCACTTTCACCAGGCTTAGGGAGAGAGGATTTCTAAGCATCCAGCTTAAGGGAACAGGGTAATGAGCAGGGCTCCCAGGCTGTGCTTCATTCTACCTGAGTGAATGGGACCAGTGAGCAGTCCTTCCTGTTGTTAATCTCTAGGGGTCACCTCTAATGGGCAGGAAGCTCCACCTCAGGCAACAGGTTGCCTTCCCCAAAGTTCTGGGCAGTCATCTACTTTCTGGTGTAGTCCTAAGAATTGAGATTTGCTGGTCCCATTTCTCAGGTGAGGCAACTGAGGCCCAAGGGCACAGTAACTGAGCAGTAGCACAAACAGGCTTCAACCTACAAGTGTATGTGTCTGGAGGCTCTCTCTCTCTCTCTCTCTCTCTCTCTCTCTCTCTCTCTCTCTCTCTTTCTCTCTCTCTCTCTCTCCCTCTCTCTCTCTCTTTCTCTCTCTCTTTCTCTCTCTCCCCCCCCATTCCTCAGATCTGAGTGATGTGCATAGACAGGTGCCACCTGTGCAGAGCATGGACCAGAAACAGTACCTGGGGCACAAAGCAGGAGCAGTTACTTGTAGCCAGGGAAGTCTGTGGGGGTGGGGGTGGTGATAAAGGATAGTGCTGTAGAGTAGGAACCCACAGGGATGGCAGGGTACCTTGGGGTGAAGATGTGGGTCAGAGGGATGGAAAACTAGGGTGCATGATGTAGGCAGGAGACAGCTCAGAGCATGCAACCCACCAGAGAGGCACATCTTGATGGACAGATGCCACTGGTATCCATCTGACTGAGCCAGACAGGGAGAGACTGGAACTCCTAGGGCTGGGTAGGAGAGGCCAACCCTTCAGGAGAGTTCCTGAAGCTCCTGGAACCTGGGAGCTTTGAGGATGAGTAGTGAGTGCGAGACTCCATGTCATGATGGGAAAACTACGCAGGGAGAGAGGTTGAGATGGGTTTAGGCGAGGTCTAGAAGCAGAATGCCAGGCAGGGGAGGACGAAGCTAATTAAATACAAGTCTCCCTGGTAGGGGAGACCCTGCCCCTTTTCTCTTCTGGAACCCACTGCCCTTGGTGCTGAGATCCCCATGGCCTTCAGACTCCAGCTTTCCTCCTTTGCTGGGGTCATTTTGCTGCTCACACAGATACTGGCCCAGCCCTGAGCCCCACCTAGGCTGACAAGAGATGAGCAGAAATGTTCCCACCGGACCCTGGTTCTGAACCCTCCATCTATAGGCACTCCCTAAACACTCAGTCCACCTTCCTTCCTCCCCACTAGGTGGAGGGCACCTGCTCCAGGGATGGAGTGGTAGTAGGGGTCTAGTTCTCTCTCTTTCCCTGGCTTCTTCCTCATACCGCCTCTGCACCCAGCTGGCTCCTTCCAGGGTTCCAGAAACTCTAGAACTCCACCATAGGACCCCTATTCTCATTACCATCCTTCACCTCTGTGCAACATGGTGCAGCCTGCCGCAGCTCCACCTCATCTAGTTTATCTCCAGGGTGTTCGTCTTGGCTTTCTCCCTGTCCCTGTCTCTTGCTGGTCCTAGAGCACAGCCTCTTCTACCTGGGGCCCTGAGCTCTTCTTTCCATGGGGCTGCAACGCGGAAGCTGCTTGTCACCTCCCCCTAGTGGCTGCTTGCCCTGGTCTCTGGGCAACCTTGTTCTAGTCATCCCATACCTGAGGCAAGTCCTGGTTCTACCAGCTTGTGCTTGAACAGGAGCCTCATGCGTGCGCCAATGGTGACCAGATTTGTGTGTGTGTGTGTGTGTGTGTGTGTGTGTGCTAAAGATAGACTTCCTGATAACCTGAAGTCTCCTAATTTGGGATACTACCCTATGAGTTTTTTTTTTTCTTTGATTTTTGGAGTCACTTAGGAATGAAAAGCCAATTTTAGCATTCTGAGGAAATGATAAAAAAAAAAAAAAAAACCCACCCAAGAAACCGAGTCAAGTTGCCCCCTAAAAGGAATAGAGCCAAGTGATTTGACCATCTCTCCAAGTTTCTGTGGTGCTAAGGGTTTACATTAGGACAGCTGCCTTTAGTTTCTCTAGTGATTGTTTTGCTATGATTGGTGGGTCAGTAAAGAAAGTGTGGGTTTGGGAATCAGATGCAGCTGAGTTGAAAGCTTGCCTTTTAGACCCCTGTAGTGCTGAACTTACTCCTTAAACTCTCTGACCCTCTGTTACTTCTTCTGATGGTTCCATTATGTAATGCATAAAAGCCCCGACTTCCTCTTCACTGAGTGGAGCTCTTACTGTTCTTAGTGGTTGAGGGATGCTGGCCACTCAGCCAACCTGCACCCTTTATTAAATATCACACACTGACCTTTCTACCTGTCATCTCTCTCTAGCACTTCCGTGGGCAGTTTCCCGTCAGCAGGGAGCAGTGACCAGGGTCCCCGGACACCCACCCAGCCCATGCTGGACTCCAGCATCCGCTCAGGCAGCTTGGGGCAGCCGAGCCCTGCAGCACTGAGTTATCAAAGCTCCTCGCCCATCCCTGTTGGTGGCAGCAGCTACAGCAGCCCTGACTACTCCCTTCAACCTTTCAGCTCTTCTCCAGACAGCCAGGGCCAGCCACAGTACAGTGCAGCCAGCGTCCACATGGTGTCTGGGAGCCCTCAGACACGACACAGGACAGTGGGCACCAACACTCCACCTAGTCCCGGTTTTGGCCGGCGGGCCATCAACCCCACCATGGCTGCCCCTGGTAGTCCCAGTTTAAGCCACCGGCAGGTGATGGGTCCATCTGGACCAGGTTTCCATGGTAATGTGGTTTCTGGCCACCCAACCAGTGCAGTGACCGCTCCTGGAAGCCCCAGCTTGGGCCGGCACCCAGTGGGAAGCCATCAAGTTCCAGGCCTCCACAGCAGTGTGGTCACCACTCCAGGAAGCCCAAGCCTGGGCAGACACCCTGGAGCCCACCAAGGGACTCTGGCTTCCAGTCTCCATGGCAATGCAGTCATTAGCCCCGGGAGCCCCAGCTTGGGCCGGCACCTGGGTGGGTCTGGATCTGTGGTTCCTGGAAGCCCCAGCTTGGACCGGCATGCAGCTTATGGTGGCTACTCTACCCCTGAGGACCGAAGACCAACACTGTCCCGGCAAAGCAGTGCCTCTGGCTACCAGGCTCCTTCCACACCATCATTCCCTGTCTCTCCTGCCTACTACCCTGGCCTGGGCAGCCCTGCCACCTCACCCTCGCCAGACTCAGCAGCCTTCCGGCAGGGGAGCCCCACACCAGCCTTACCAGAGAAGCGGAGAATGTCAGTGGGAGACCGGGCAGGCAGCCTCCCCAACTATGCCACGATCAATGGGAAAGTGTCCTCCTCACCTGTCGCCAATGGCATGGCCAGTCCCAGTGGGAGCAGCACCGTCTCCTTCTCTCACACACTTCCGGACTTTTCCAAGTATTCGATGCCAGGTGTGTCTCTTCTCTTACATTTCTACTTGCCTAAAAGTTTGGACGTCTGTCCCAGCCATCCCTCGGCAGATGACTGTGGATGGGTCATCGACTCATAGGCCTGAGCTCCTTGCCTGGAGTGGGGGGCTGTATCTTTAAAGCATGGCTAGCTTAGGGTTGCTGTGATGACGGGTGCAGGATGAGGAGGATGGGATAATAAGTGGGAAGTGTATGTTGTTTAGATGGCTGTCACTGGCATAGCCTCTTATTGAGCACATGCTGTGTGGCACCCTGAGCTATCATTTAATCCCCTGGCCCGCTGCGGAGGTAGGAATTGTTATCCTTGCTTTACACAGGAAAACTCTAAGGCCCACAGAGTTCCTGTTGTTTGATTGGTGTTCATTGTATAGTTACCTGGTGGCAGAGCTGACTTCTGATCCAGGCCCATACTGTCCTCAGAGGAGTGTTCTTGGGGCAGAGGAGATGGCTCAGTGGGCATAACACTGTACAAACATGAGGACCTGAATTTGGATCCTTAGGACCCATGTAAAAACCGAACACAGGAGTGTGTGTATACTCCAGTACTGCTGTGTGACCCAAGTAAAAACCGAACACAGGAGTGTGTGTATAATCCAGTACTGCTGTGTGACCCACGTAAAAACCGAACACAGGAGTGTGTGTATACTCCAGTACTGCTGTGTGACCCACGTAAAAACCGAACACAGGAGTGTGTGTATACTCCAGTACTGCTGTGTTGGGATAGGAGGCAAGGGCAAGAGATTTCCCAAAAGCTTCCAGGCCAGCTAGCCTGGCATATGTGTAGTGAACAAGTCTCTGCCTCAAACAAGGTGGCAGGCAAGGAGTGACACCCAAGGCTGTCCTCTGACCTCCACATGCACACACACACACACACACACACACACGGACACATGGACACATGGACACACACATACACGATGGGGAGATCTTCAGCATATATTCATATTTTGAGAGATAGTATGTAACTTAACAGAACTGCGAGACTCCACTGACCACTATGGCATTTGTCAGCCCCACACACCAGTGAACAGCGGGCTAGGTGGGCAGGTGGGACAGAATAAAGCTGAGGGGAGAGATGTTTTAGCAGAGCCTGGTCTGAACAAACCTGCTTCCCACAGGATAAGTTCTTTACCCAAGTCTAGCCTTGGTGTCTTTCCTTCCATGGAGACTGTTCATTCTCCAAACAAAAACTTCAAGCTTCAGGTGATCCACATTTTCTCAACCAGATCCTGTGTGCAGAGACCCCGGAGCTTCCTGTGTCCAAGGCAGATGCAAAAAATTATAAACTGCCTGGGCTGGACCAAAGGCACCCAGGCTCTCTGTCCGGTGTCTTTCCCAAGTCCTTCCAAGCTGGGACACTTAGAGTGACCCTGCACTCCCCTGCTTCCTGCCGCCTACTAGGGACATCTGGTTCCCAGCCCTGATCCTTGAAGGATGTGAAGTTTCTAGAGTTAGGACACTTCCTGTTTCCCACCATCTTGCCTACTTAAAATAGCCTTTGGAGTCAACACAGGAAGACACACGGGATTGCAGTCGCCTCTGACAACTCCCTAGATCAACCATGGCTGAGCTTCAGAGGAGGATCAGGCGCCTGCAGCAGATGCATTTTCTAGCCACACAGCCTGGGAAAGGAGCTCAGTCCCCTCAGGCTACTGGAGATGGAGCCCAGGTGCTTGTGAGAACCAAGGCCCTTAGCTGCAGCTGCAGGCTCCTGCTCTCCTAACTTTAGCTCTTGAGACACTGAGTCCCCTGCTTCAGCCACTCTCAGAGAACTATAGAACTGTGAATATAGATTTCCCCCCTTTCCTTCTTCTGGTCCCTTTGCTTTTTTTTTTTTCTGCTTTGTGCCAAAAGGTGAAAGTGTTAGTGGAAAGCAAGACTAAGTTCTAACAGTCCACTGCGTGGTTCAGTGGTTGCAGTTCACAGTGATGTTAGGTATTTTATGAAGAACCGAGGTTGAGCTGGGAGGATCAGAGTACAAAGATAAGATAAGGAGGTAGGCACAGTGACACTCACCCGTAGTCCTAGCACTGAGAGGAGGAGGAAGGAGCGTGACACATTCCAGGGAAATGCCATAGTTGGACTCAATCTTGTCCAAACCCCTCTACAATGTAATGTTCTGAGAAAGGCTATGGTCTAGAGTACTGACCATTTCCTGGTCTAGATGTTGGAGGATAGGAGGAACTTGTGACCCTATTATGTGGTATGTGACTTTCGGTGTGGGGTCAAGAGGGGATGGGCCACAGAGAGAGGCACAAGTCTTCTTGCCCTTGCTCATGGATGGTAGACTGAGGCTGGGAGACAGAGCACAAGAAGGGGCTGGAGAGGTGTCAACCTGTGGGAAGGAGATGGGGAAGATGTCCTCAGAATCTTCTAGGCGCAGGGAATGGGGTGGGGAAGGGGTTTTCATCAGCTCAATGGATGCCTTTCCGGGTCCTTTAACCACAGAATGGTCAGGCAATGATTGTGGCTGGCAGGAGGCAGACTGGGAGACAGTTGCTGGGTACCTCCTGCCATGTTCTGTGATGTTTGAGGATCCAGCTTTCTGTTTTATTTTCTGGGGCTGACACACACTTGTTGGCTTAGAATAATAGAGGTAAATTCTGCCATAGCAAAGGCCAGAGATCAAAACCCAGATGTTGGCAGGGACTCTGACGGAGTACTGTTTTCAGACCCTCTCCATATTTCTCCTGATGATGGTCCTGTGTCTCTCAACTTACAGATGTTCCCGTTTTCACCTGGTACAGTTTCCATGTGTCTCTCGTCTCTTTTCCACTTGGAAAGAAACTAGTTGTATTGGATTAGGGCTCATCCCAGCCTGGCATGCCTTTGTCTAAATTTGATTGTATTAGCAAGGACACTCTTCAATGAGACCACATTTGTAGGTTCTTGGTGTTGGGGTATCAACTTCTTTTGGGGGGAATGCAAAACTGAAAAACTCCTTTTGTTTCCTCTCTTAGACAATAGTCCCGAGACACGGGCTAAAGTGAAGTTTGTTCAGGACACTTCCAAGTATTGGTACAAGCCTGAGATCTCCAGAGAGCAGGGTAAGTTAGGGGGGTGGGCAGCATTGTTGGCTTAGTGGTCCACCAGGAGACATCATGGAGTCCTGCTCGCCATGTCTGCCTTGAGCAAGAACTCATTCCTTTTTGCAGTAGGTGGTGGTCCCAGAGAGGAAGCTGGGATCAAAGTCAGAGAGGAAAAACCTGTGTCAGGAACAAAGCCTTGGTTTTCCCAGGCAAAGTAAAAGGCCAGCCAAGAGTATCTGAACCTATGGTATAGATGATGATGATTGTTCAGAAAAAATAATAAAGAAAACCAAGTTTGGAATGTAGGCCTGAAGGTGACCCTCACCCCAAGGATGTCTGGCTATGGGGTAAGGACTAGCAAGGAGGGCCTAGAGGTTCACTTTTTTTTTTTTGTAAATGAAGCTATAGACCAGTTTCAGTCGCCATTCATATACTGTCTGCTTCCCTTTGTAAGGCTGTGCAGAGTAATGGCTGCAGATAGAATGGCCTCCAACACTGGGTGTCTCTGGTTATCATCAGAGACATGTACAGGAGGGCCCGCAGGAATGCTTCCTTACATCATGACATCAAAGAATGTCATCTCGAGAGAGAAGAGAACCCGCCAGTTCCATGCGACTCAAGCTAAGTCAGTGCTAATGGTTTTTCTTCTGTCTCCTCTCCTTCCAGCCATCGCACTCCTGAAGGATCAGGAGCCAGGGGCCTTCATCATCCGGGACAGCCACTCCTTCCGAGGGGCTTATGGGCTGGCCATGAAGGTGTCCTCACCCCCTCCAACCATCACTCAGCAGGGCAAGAAAGGTAGAGTCTTCTTGCCAGGCCAGGGCTGGGGTTGGGGCTTCTTGCTTTCTTCAGACCATTGGGTACCCTAATTCACCAGGGCTGGTCCCTGAGAAGCTCCAGGATGCTGAGTGGTGGTTTTGGTGACAGCAGAGCTTTGGGACTTGGTGTGTGTGAGGTGTTTCCTTGGATGGACGGAAGGGGAGTGTGTGGTGATCCTCATCCCACAGGGCTCTAGCCACCTTGTCTGGGTTTCCCTTTCTCTCATCTCATTCTATACACCGCAGTGTTAGGATGTAGGGTGAGTGTGTGCTATAACAATGAGTGACCAATTCTGTTTCCTCCTCCTTCTCCTCCTTTTCCTCCTCCTTGTCTTCTTCCCCTTCCTTTCTTCTTCCTCCTCCCCCTCCTCCTTCCCCTCCTCCTCTTCCTCCTTTTCCTCCTTTTCCTCTTTCCTCTTCCTCCTCCTCCTCCTCCTCTTGCTCTTCCTCTTCTTCTTCTTCTTGCTCTCCTCCTCCTCCTCTTCCTCCTTTTCCTTCTTCTTTTCCTCTTCCTTCCTCTTCCTCCTCTTCCTCCTCTTCCTCTTCTTCTTCTTGCTCTCCTCCTCCTCTTCCTCCTTTTCCTTCTTCTTTTCCTCTTCCTTGCTTTTCCTCCTCTTCCTCCTCCTCCTCTTCTTCTTCTTCCTCCTCCCCCTCTCTTCCTCCTCCCCCTCCCTCCCTCCTTCCCCCCCCTCCTTCTTCTTTCTTCCTTCTTCTTCTTTCCAGGAGACATGACCCATGAGCTGGTGAGGCACTTTCTGATCGAGACAGGCCCTAGAGGAGTCAAGCTCAAGGGCTGTCCCAATGAGCCAAACTTTGGTGAGCATCCTGGCCTGTCTTATGGTCTCTGTTCCAGTCCTCAGGGGAGTCTGACCCAAGTTCTTTCTATCTTGATGCTTCCTTCTGGGCATGGCTTTGGCAGAAGGAAGGAACAGCTGCTGTTTTTATAAATAAAGTTTTATTGAAACCTGGCCATGCTTTCTAGCTACATACTGTGTACTGTGGCTTTTCCTCTCTGCCAGTTCCCTTTCTGTATTTGTTTTGTTCAGTTGAGATGGACTGTCAGTACGTTAAAATAACAGCAGTAAGAACAGCTGTCCTTCTTGGCCACCAATTGTGAAGTCAGTATCTAGCTGTCATGTTGTTCTGGTGTCATAGCAATCCTGCCTGGTAGCTGTCACTCTCCCCATTTTGCACATGAAGAATGTGTAAGTGCCACTTAAGTCCCCTAGATAAGCAACAGAGCTGGGATTTGATGTGACAGTTTCCATCAGCAGTGTTCTGATGGGGGCTCTGTAACTAGAAGGACTTGGGGGACCTGGCTGCCAAGGAAAGTAGTTAGGTTCTCCTGTAGTTCCCAATATAGAGGGGCAGGTTTTCAATACTGTTGCTGGGTTGGGCAAATGGATAAAGAAGCTGGAGGCTGGGATGTGGCTCAGGTCCCAGGTTTGAGCCCCAGCACTGCCAGAAAGAAAACAGTGGGCAGATACTGGGATGGTGTAGAGTCGGATGAGGTAGGGTTCCTTGTGTCCATTCTCCAGTCTCTCCTAGTCACTCTGCCTGGTTGTCTCTCTCCACAGGCTCCCTTTCTGCCCTGGTTTATCAGCACTCTGTCATCCCACTGGCCCTGCCCTGTAAACTGGTCATTCCAAGCCGAGGTAGGAGATATCCCCTCATGCTGTCTGCCCAGAATGGAGCCAGGGTGGAGGCGATACAGGGGACCCCTTCCCACTTCATCTATTAAAAAGGGGGGGGGGGGAGGAGATGTTCATTAAGAAGCTTAACTCCAAGAATAACCGTTAATAGATTTGCCAGATTGTTCTCAAAAGTATTCTGGTGGTTTATAAAAATCCACATTGAATTCTCAGAACAAGCTTCATCCCAGGGGAGATCTGAGAAGTGGGGGACAGGAACACAAGGATTATATCCTGGTACACAAGAGAGACTTCTAGTGTCAGTTAACCATGTCTATTCATCCAGCTTGACACACTGAATTATTAATAACCATTGACCAACATTATTAGCTTAAAGGTTCAAATGCAACTTCAATAACAGTAAACCACATAATTTAGATGCTAATTCAATTATATTTGTTTGGAACTTACAAAATTGGTTGACATTTAAATCATATAAACTGGCACCTCTCAGAACACAGTGCCTGAAGCTGCTGCTTTTGGGAACTTGCTAAAAGGCAGATATTTTCAGATTTGTCAGAACCTCTGGGTCAGAGCCAGGCCTGGGACTGCAGACCTGTGGCCTGAGCAACTTAGGAGATTGAGCTAGGTGGATCACAAGTTCAAGACCTGCTTTGGTTTGCACTGTGAGTTTAGGTTTGATTGGACAACACAGAGATCTCAGAATAAAAAGACAAAAGAGGAGTGGATGTGCAGCCACGCACAGATGCAGCAGAGCACTCGCTTGCATGTGTGAGACCCAAGGTCAAGCCCCAGTCATCAGAAAGCAATGCAATACAGCTGCGGAGTAGACCCAGCAATCTGTATCCCAGTGCATTGTAAACAAAGTACAGAAGCACCGATACAAGTATCCCTCAATTCCTGTTACATACACCAGGTTGTCACAATACTCTGCCTAAGTCCCCAACGTTCTGAGATCACAAGCACAGGCCACATTCCAGTTTCTGGCATCTTTAAAAGTTTGTTAAGGTATAGTTGAAGTAAAACCTGTGTTCTCTGTAAAGTGACGTGTGCTGCTGCACAACACACATGCTGTGCATATTGTGTGCTGGTAAAACCGAGCCTCTCAGTACATCTGTCACGTGACTCTGACTCATCGCAACCTGGTAGTTTGTGCTGTGTTGGATTCAGTCACTCATACAAAGACACACTGGTGTTAAAATGAAAGGCCTGCAGTCCCCATTGCTCCTCGAAGCCTTGCTATATGTCACTTGCTGGGGTTCTGGAGACCCAGGGACATGGACACTATCACTGTCATTGTCATTTCATAGATGCTTTGCAGTTACTGTGGTGGGGACTTGAGCCCGACTCTGCTGGACTCTACAGTGCTCCAGCACCCTTGGTACCATCTTATACATGCAGCACTGACTGCCAAGACCCACTGTGAAAGGGTATCTATTGCAGGACGCATGTGCAGGCCTTGCCTTAGGACCAGCCAGGCTCGTTTAAATTACTGTAGAGCTTTAATTACTAATTGAATTTTTGTTTCAGATCCCACAGATGAATCAAAAGATAGCTCAGGCCCTGCCAACTCAACCACTGACCTGCTGAAGCAAGGAGCAGGTAAATGTCACCTGAGACTGGACTGATGCCCAGACCTGTCCTTCCCACCCCTGCCCTGTCCCCTCTCTCGGGTGCAAATTGGAATTCTCAATCAGATTCCATTTCCGTGTGCAGCTCAAGGCTTGCCTGAAATTTGTCTGCACTTGCCTCTGCATGGTGGCTCTGAGGGACTGTCCCCACTCACTCTAGCCCCCATGACTCTCCCTGGCTCCATTTCTTCCAGCTTGCAACGTGCTCTTCGTCAACTCAGTGGATATGGAGTCACTCACTGGGCCACAGGCCATTTCCAAAGCCACGTCTGAGACTTTGGCCGCTGACCCCACACCAGCCGCCACCATTGTTCACTTCAAGGTCTCCGCCCAAGGAATCACACTGACTGACAATCAAAGAAAGTAAGCCTGTCCTCCCATTTATGCATTTATTCATGTTCTTACTACCCCGTACCCATTGCCTACCTATGAACCTGTCCATCCATCCTCCTTCCCATCTGTCCTCCACCCACCTCCCCACTACTCAACCTCCCGTCTATCCATCCATCCACCTCCCCACCTACTCAACTGCCCGTCTATCCATCCACCCACCTACCCACCTACTCAACCTCCCGTCTATCCATCCACCCACCTACCCACCTACTCAACCTCCCATCTATCCATCCATCCACCTACCCACCTACTCAACTGCCCGTCTATCCTCCACGCACCTCCCCACCTACTCAACTATCCATCTATCCTCCACCCACCTATTCTTCAACCCATTCATCCATTCACCTTCTTATCTATCCTTGCATTCATTCATTTATACATCTAGCCACTCACCAAACTATTCATACATGTGCGTATGCGTGTATGCAGCCCTCTGTCAACATCCATCCACTCATCCATCCATACTTCTAAAGAGGGGCCTGCTTTGTGCATACACAACACAGCTGAAGAAAAGGCCTTGATTTTAATAGAAGTTTTCACACTATTCTCTCTCTCTCTCTCTCTCTCTCTCTCTCTCTCTCTCTTTCTCTCTCTCTCTCCCCCCAACCTATTCCCTTCCTTTTCCAGAGTTCCCTATGTATCATTTCTTGGCACCTTCCCTCCCCAGCCCCTAGCAGTCAGGGTGTGCTGCACTCTCCTACGCCACATCTGTGTGTTCCTATGTGGGGCTTACGTCCTGGAATGAGGATCTCAGCCCATCTTGTTAACAAAGAGAGGCTTTGTGAACCCATGGCGGACACAGTGATGGGAAGATCGCCTGACCTGACCTGCAGCTGGTGGCAGGTGTGACAAAGCAGTTACTCCCACACTCACTCTGGCCCTCTGATATCTTTGCCACAGGCTCTTCTTTAGACGACACTACCCCCTCAACACTGTCACCTTCTGTGACCTGGATCCACAAGAAAGAAAGTAAGTGTCTTAGAGGCAGCTTTGCTCTATCCTCTGACGTATGTGTGTGTTGTGCTGTGTGTGTTGTGTGCCTGTGTATTCAGCCACAGCTTTGGTGTGTCCTGGGCAGTGAGAGCAATTATGGTAGCAACGGCTTGAGTCTCCTCCCCAGACCTGGTGACTTTCCACAGACTTCACTGCTCATCTCTGCCCACCCTGCTATGTCTCCTCTCCACATGGGAGGTGGGCTGCAGCATCTTCTCCACTTGGATTACCCCCTGTGTGACCGTGGGACTCTGTCTCCTTGAGTGGGGGCTCCTCTGCCTTCCTTCCCCTGGCAGGGCTCCTGAGAGAGACACACCGACTTACTGTGGGCATTTTTTTTTTCTCCACAGGTGGATGAAGACAGAGGGAGGAGCCCCTGCTAAGTAAGTGTAGCTTTCCCTGCACTCAGCTGCTTGGCCATTATACTCTGTGGGGAAAACAGGGGCAGGGCTGGGCTGTAGGCCAGGGGTCTGATAAGGGCCTGTATGCCAAGGTCGATGAGATGAAGAGAAAGAATATAACCTGCATCTTTATGCTAACAAAGGCGTGTCTAGGCATGGAGTCTGAAGGATGTGTGGAAAGAAAGACTACTTAAAAATGGACAGGTGTATTTTGGGTAGATAGAAATGGGTTTGGAGGGGATCATATGACTTTTAGACTGTGGGTTCCTGAGGACAGGGTGGGGTCTGTCAGTTGTTGACAGTTGTTGAGTGAAAAAATAGAGGCCAGAAGTGCCCAGAGTGAGCCAAAGTGGGAGCGCCTTGCTTGGGAATAGAGAGAACCAGCTAGGGATCTAATCCAGAGGGAACGGAAGATGTCTCAGCCTTCCGAGACCTTCATAGAATCAGACAGGACCTCACATGCCTGTGCCTTCCCATGTCACTGAATCTCTTCATGCTACTGCCAGACAGGTAGACAGGCCAGATGGCAATGTCCAGAGCAGGCACAGATGTCTAGGTGTCCATCCTGGCAGTGACAGGCAAAAGGCCTATTTGCTTCTACTCTGGGAACTCAGAGACGCCCTCCCCCTGCCAGGATCACCATAGCATGCTACAGCCAGTCAGCCTGGAGAGGAAACTGCCCTGAACATCTGTCTCCTGGTTATTATCACAGGGCTTCAGGTCCTGCAACAGAGTCGGGAGAATAAAGCTGTTTGAAGTACAGGGCATGTGTGTGTGTGTGTGTGTGTGTGTGTGTGTATGTGTGTGTTTCCTCATCATAAACGTGTGTGCCGTATGAATATGCATTTGCTGTGTGTCTCTGTGCACAGGTGTGAATAGACTGTTTATGCTTGCACAGACATAAACAGGCAGGCAGAAGCCAGCCTGGCTAATTTTAGCTGTGGGTGCCAGGCATACCCAGCTGAGGGGTTTCCATTGGCATTTCCAGCTGTCCTGATTTCCCCACCTCTCTCTAATTAGCAACATGCTGGCCGGGAGGGGCCTGAGCTCACATTCTGTTCTCTCCTCTCATATTTTTAACTCTGTTTTGCAGAGAGGTGTGTGTGTGTGGGGGGGAGTTACATACACACATACACAGACAGACAGAGACAGATAGAGGAGGTGAGGTGAGGTGGAGGGGAGTGCAAGGGAGAGGTAGAGTTGGGGAGGTGAGTGTCTACTTTGTCTCTCTGACCACCTAGGAAGCATGTCCTGTAGGAATCCTCAGGTTGGTGTAGGGCTGAGAAAGAATCCAAAGAAGCTCTTGGACTCCTCCTGCCTCCTGTCCAGTCTCCTTGGAGCTTTTCTAACAAGTCTTGTCACTCAAACCCATCTTCCACCCCTGCTCCCCAGGGGAATGTCACCTGCCCTGAAACAAAGCAAGGCACTGTCTTCAGAATTTGGCTTTAAAGAGCTAGCCCCAGTTCTAGAGTTTGGAGAGGTATGGGAGGGTGGGGGACGGAGAAGACAGGCTGACCTGAGGCATACTTTCCTGCCTTGTTGACCTCTAAGGCCTGGGTCCTTACATAGGCATCCTCTCTCACCCCTGCAGGCTCTTTGGCTTCGTGGCCCGGAAGCAAGGCAGCACCACAGACAACGCTTGCCATCTCTTTGCGGAGCTTGACCCCAACCAGCCTGCGTCTGCCATTGTCAACTTTGTCTCCAAGGTCATGCTGAGTGCTGGCCAGAAGAGATGAATCCTGGAGCCCTTGCCCAAGGCTAGGGCATTGGGGAATGGGGTGTGTGGGGAGGGGATCTGTGAATCCTGACCACCTTGAATCCAGAACGAGGACTTTGGGTGGACCGTGGAGAAGGAGAGAAGAACGTGCATTGCTGGGAGTGGGAAGTGAATTGCGGAGGGGGGAGGGGAGCGGGAGGAAGAAGAAGGAAGGAAGAAGAGAGGCACTCAGAATCCCCTGTATAGATGGAAGCCACACCTCCCAAAGCCTCTCCAGCTAGCTGGGGCCCCTCCCTCTCTGAGAGACTTGAGCCCGCACAGGGAAGGCACAGGCCTCCTTGGGGGACCATATTTCATGGAGCAATGAAAGAGTGCGTTCTCCCTAACCCTCCTGTTTTGAGAGAAGAAATTGAAATGAGGCTTCTTCTCTGGAGGTAAGGTTGCTGGTGGCCAGCGTTCGACATCAAGCAGTGACAGTTTTTCACATTTTGCTCACCCGTGGTCTGTGCTTGCTCTGACTCCTTGTTGCAGGGTATAAATGTGCTCCCACGCGCTGATCGATACTTGCCTGTGTCCACTCAACTCAAATTACAAACAGCTCTTCTTGTCTGTGTCCCTTGTGATACACATATACACACTGTCCAAAGAAGGCTAGGGATATAGGGTGGCAGGGTCCCAGGTCCGATGACAAGCTGTCTCCTGCAGGAGTGTAGCTTATGGGTACAGAGTTCTCTCTGCACCTGTTCTCTAGTGGCCCTGGGGGCCTCCAACCTGTTCTCTCTGTAGAGATTCTGGTACAGAGGGCATGGCCACCTGCAGCATTATAGCTGTTCTGTCTCCTGGAAACTGAAGTTGGCTTGGAGGAAGAGCTGATGCCCACAGTCTTGGGGAAAATACCCGTTAGGAAGGATGGCGTCTTTTCTGCACTGTGGGACTCATGGTGAATTGGGCATGCGCATTGTGCTGTGGGACTCATGATGAGTTGGGCATGCGCACTGACAATGCCCAGGACTGCCTTACTCCCTTCCCTCAGCCCAATTTCTGGGCCAGCACTAGCCTTGCACTTGCTCATTTGCTTGAAGCCTACTGGGGGATGGGGCCGTGCCTTTCTGACCTATCCTGTCCCACATGGTCTTCATGTTGGCTTATCCCAGTAGTCTACTTCCCGAAGTCCTGCCTAGGACACTTGGGGGAGCCCCCCCCCCAATTTTTCCCCTCTAAGTGTTTTGGAGTCTGACTGTCACAGACACCCTCTGGCTGGGCTGCTCAGGGTGACATCAGAGCATCTCTGGGAATGCTGCTGGAGAACCACGTGGTCCTCCCACAATACCAAAGCTTCCCTGGTTCCCCTTCTGCCTCGGTTTCCCCAGCAGGACCATATTGCCTGTGGGACAGAGGACAAAAGGTATGAATTTAGGCCAAAGGTCCTATGGTCCATTTGCGGGGTTGGGAAGGCCCCTGCCACCACTCAGGCCTCCATTTAAGCCCATAGGGGCTCCTAGGGGTGGCATTGTACTGATATATAAATATATATAATATATACATGAGACATACTGATAGAATCTGTAAGCTAATAAAAAATATAAGAAAAAGGTTAAAAAAAAGAATAGGTAAATTGACAAGAAATATTTATTGTTTTCCCCTATTGCTTTATTGTCTCTGGCCACAAACTGTTCCCATTTCTTCTCTAATATAAGTAGAGCCTGAACTGCAGGGGGTCTTTGTATTCCAAACAGCCCTGGGCCAGCCTTGGCCTTGACCCTGGCCTTGGCCTCCCTAGGCTACATCTGGGACTTGGTGGGGGGAGGGTGACTGCTCCAACTCCAGCTCCTTATCCTCTGGCAAACCGTAGCTTGTGTGGCAGCCGACATCCTGTATGCGTGGACAGCTGCTTCCATCGCCACAGGCCTGAGCCAGTGTGTATTTGGAGATCCGGGTGTGTGTGGCCATGGTGTGGCAGCTCCTGGATTTTTTTTTCTCCTCCAGGGAGTTTTGACTGTGTGGACATTTGTTTAAGGAACTAGAAAGAAGAAGGTTGGGTGAAGATCATGGGCCCCTACTTCCCAAAGAATAAATGGGCTTAGTGATCAAGGCTCTTCAAAGTATCCTTCCCTCTGAGATGTTCAAGGCCAGTGTCTGGATGTCCCATTTCCTCATCCCCCTAAGGAATCCTACTTCTCCCCAAGATATAAGGAGACCTTTCTCATCCCGTTCTTTGTAAATGCCCTCGCCCTACTGCATAGTCTGGGGTGTCTTTGTAAATGCCCTCGCCCTACTGCATAGTCTGGGGTGTCATCTCCTGGCTGGAATGTTGTTCACTTGAGCCTTTGAGGAGCATCAGAGCCTCTGCATCCTGCCCTGGGCCAGGCCTGAGTCTAGGATCAGTCTTCATGTATGGTTTCATCTTCCCATGCTGCACTCGGGCCTAAGCCTTGTGAGTCCTGTGAATGACCAGAGTGGATGCTAGCCAGCGGAGCCTTCTTAGCATGCCTCTAGGAATAATGGACACCAGAGTTTGGCTTTCTCGAAGAAAGGTGGAGAAGGGGGCCTCAGTTTTTACAGTGGGGACCACACTGTTCTCTGTCCCCTTCCCAACTGTGATTCCCACAGACGGCTTCTGCACACTCACACTTGTGTGCGCGCACACACACAGAGACCACATGCACACACAGCACTCCGTATGCAACTCTGTTTTCTTGCCAAAGATTTCCTTTAAACAAGAGCACTTTTACCCACTGCTCTTTTGTGAATGATCTGTTTTGTTGTTTATTGTCGAGTCTGTATATCCACAGGGAGAGTGTTTTCTGCTCTTACACATGAATGAAAGAGGGGGAGGGGAGACAGGAGAACATGGTGGCCAGTGATGTCCTTAATAAGATCCCTCAGCTACAGCCCAGGTCCAGACTGCCTCCTGCCACTCAGAAGATCTGAGGTTGGCCTGGGGCTTCACTGTCCCTGATATCTGGAGGTGAGATGGCAGAGAGGGGCACTGATAGAGCCAGGGAAGGCTAGAGAAGTCCCCAATGGTTCTGGGGGTGGGGACAAGTGTGAAGGGCTGGGCTTGAACAGGATGGACAGGAAGGCTGGGAGAATTAACAGTTGGATATTGAAGTTGCTACTGTGGAACCCTGGCTCCCTTGCCCAGTAATGTTTTAGGAAAGAATTCACATCTTAGGTTTGAAAAGGGGCATTTGAGTCTTCTCACCTGACCTCTTCCTAGCTGTTTAGATAGCCTCAGGCATGATTGCCAGGATTCCTGATTTGCCCTGGCTTTGGAGAGTCCCTAGAGAGACCCACTCTGTGGGTGTAGGGGATTTCAGAAGAGAGAGTCCTTGTGCTGTCTGGGAAGTACAGGAGAGACAAGTGAGTGAATCATATCTATCTGGCTCTGGGTTTTCTTTATCCTACCTCCTGGGACTTCTGACCCCCTCTTCCCAGCTTCAGATCTTGGGGAGATCCATCAAAGGGAATCAGCCTTCTCCTGCCTCCATGCCTTGGGTCCCTGAAGAGCTTGGAACCCAAAGCTAGGGCCACCCCTGCACTTAGGCCTTGGCTGAAGATCTTGAGACTGGTGTTTCCGTGGTCATTGGTGACAGGATGTATGTGCATGCGTGTGTAAGTGCGGGTGTGTGTGCATGGTCTGCTCATTCTTTTGGGAATTTCAAGGTGGGAGGTGGTAGATGGAGGGATGTCAGGTTCAATGTGACCCAGTAATGAGAAGAACTGGGAGGTGAGGCCTGATGGGCCACGGCTTGGTCATGTTTTAGTGTTGATGACGGAGGGGCGGTCCCATGGGATGAGGCTAGGCAGGCCTCTTTCTTGTTGTCTCCTGTCTCCTCAAATGGCTGAAAACTTGGAGGGTCTTGGTTGTTTTCCGTGCATGGGCCCCTCACTGTGAACACACACCCAGCGTGTCGGTGTTCACAGCCCAGTCCTCCCTGAGGACCCACATTTGGCTCGTATGTGTGTGAGCACGTTGGGGTGTGCATGAGGTATCTCCCTATTTTCTTCTCTTCTATCATCCAAATCAAATGTAAGAAGTTCCTCACATCCTGATTACCCCAACTCTGATACCCAGGCCCTCTGCTGGGAAACCCATGCCCAGAGTCCCTCCCCTGCCCCAGCCCTCGGCTGTGTATTTATAGATGGAAATATACTTTATATTTTGTATCATTGTGCCTATAGCCTCTGCCACCTTGTATAAACCCTGTGTATGCTAAGTGTTCTGGATATGAATGTATGTACACTGATGCTGTCCCGCTCTGTACAGCTGCTTGGCCCCTCACGATCCATTGTATGGCTTTACAAATGATAAAGTTAAACACAAACCCAGGCTGTGATCGAGCTTTGTTTGGGCTCTGCTGGGGGTCTTCACTGGACAAGAGGTGTCTGTCCTGAACACCAGATATGAGGGTCTTCAGTGATGCTTCTGGAACCCAAGTAGCGGCTTGGCTTCTGTTGATCATGAGTGTAACTCATCTGGACCCCTAGCTGGAAAAGAAGTTCAAAGGAAAAAAAACAAAAACAAACAAACAAAAACAACAACAACAACAACAACAAAAACAGGAATGGATTGACCCAGGTGAACAGCCAAATAGTCACTTAACAGTGTTGGGAAATAGTTCTGCTCTCACAGTCCCTGAAAGGGGTCTCAGGGACCCCAGGCTCCCAGACCACACTCTGATCCTCACTTACCTACAAGGGATACAGCTGCAGAGGCAGAGCCTGTCTGGTGGGGACAGTGTGCCTGTATTCCTGCTGCCTGCCAGGTCTCATGCCCTGCATCCTGAGGAAACCAAGACTCTGAGAAGTTACCTCATCCTCTCAGAGCAAGAACAAATGCTCACTGAGTGCACAAGCAGGTGTATCTGTCCTCACGCCCATCCCACAGATGAAAAGACTGAGGCACTTGCCCAGAATCATGACACTAGAACAACTGTTAGAGCCAAGCTAGACCTTCACTCTAGGCCCTTTCTAGCTCAAGCCTCTTAGTGCTTTCAGGGAGAGACTAGCTCTGGTGAGCAAGATCATACCTAGGGTCATACAGGTGTGGCAGATAATCAGTCTGGCTTCCCAGGGAGAGACCTGGGCTGGAGGAGATAGAGAGGGCATCATAAGATGTCACTCAGAAGCACAGGAATGTGGTGAACTCAAGTTCCTACAGTCTGAGACTGGCTTGGGGTTCAGGAGTTCTGAGTTGGGGGAAGGGGATGGTCAGAGGCCATTTCTGGAGGCTGCAGCAAAGCCACCAAGGAAAGGACAGCGGACAAGGGGTGGCATGTGGATCTGGGAGTAGAGGGAGAGAGTATATCCACACACTCCCTCTGTCACCCCGTGACCAGTTCTCAGTTTAGTCCTGATGCCTAGGCCTCACCCTAGGACTCGGTGTGACCGGTCTGGTCTCAAGTGGTCAGTGGACAATGGGTCTTTTCTCAGGCTGGACTCTTCCTACCCTCTTCTAAGAATGGAACAACAAGGGGAAGAGAAGAAGATCTGTTTGCCATGGGAGAATATCAGTTTAAATAGGAAACTGGAAACTGAGGCCCTAAGTAGCAGCAGGATGCTGTCCACTGAGAGAGCTTGGTAGTATCCCAGCTTGAAGTCATCAGCAGGTGTTGGGGTGTCTAGCTGAGAGGTTGTGAGTGGTAACAGCCCTGCACTCTCAGCAGACAGGCTTTGGGGTGTCAGCAGAGAGACTATCAGCTAACATTACTGCTTGCAAGTTCTCAGAAGGATTTGGGACGCCAGGCAGGAGCAGACCCATGCTTTCCACCAGTTTGTTCTGCATGGATCTGCCACCCAAGAGGCGGCAGGACTGGCAGATCTCGAGGCTGGAGGCACAGGTCTCTGGAGCAGAGTTTGGAGGCTGGAAACAGCTGCAGGGATGAATGAATCTCTTTCTGTAGCCTAAGTATAGAGTCTTAGGGACTGAGGCAGGAAAGAGGCCCACTGCCTGCAGCCCCTGGACAAGTCCATTAGGCTGCCTTGAAGAAGTCCCTCCTGAGGTAGGAGAAGGGAGGGCAGGATGAAAACCTGGTCAGAGACTGGAGAAGGTCTGCACCGACCATATGAAGACCTCAGCTCTCCATGGCAGTGTGTTGTGTACATGTGGGTGGTGTGGTGGTGTGGTGGTGGTGGTGTGGTGTGGTGGTTTGGTGTGGTGGTTTGGTGTGGTGTATGCAGCTGGTAGAGTCCTTCCTGCACTGCAGATCCCTGCCGGCACATGCTGCCACCCCTCATCCCTTCAGTAGATATGCTAGGATTTTTGGCACATTCCAGGCATGGAAGGGACCCCGATGCCTCTCCTGTATCCTTTAGGCCAAGCTCCATGAGGACAGAGGAGCTGGTGCCAGCTCTTGGTACCCACCCTCTAGCCCTGAGGCCACTCATGCATGCCCTTCCTGCAGGATCTGTGGAATTGATCCTCATGACCAGTGAAACCAAACTGTGCCTTCTTACTGCATTTGCTTGTTTGTTTGTTTATCTGCTTATTTGTGTAATTTATATATTATGAGTTAAGGTCCTATTGTAGTCAAGACCAGCCTTGAACTTGCTATGTAGCCAAGTCTGACCTTGAACTTGCCAGGTAGCCAAGTCTGACCTTGAACTTGCTATATAGCCAAGCCTGACGTTGAACTTGCAATTTTCTTGCCTGCATCTTCCAAGTGCTGAGATTACGGGTAGACTCATTTTCATCTTTTCTAGTCTTCAAAGTATAAAGTATTTTAGTAGTTCTCCATTTCTAACAGTTCAGAACACAGCACGGCCCATTCATAACAACATTGATGAGGTAAGGAACCGAATGTGTAGTGTGTACATGTATGTACATACCCCACAGATAATGCACACCCAGACAGAATAGTACACATGCACACATATACAAATGTACACAAACAGACATGCATAGAGATGCACATACATGACTACCCAGGCACAAAACATGATCCAGGCGCTTAGACAGTCATAGACACACGGCACGCACAGAGATGCACACATCAAGGTGCATACAGGTGATGCAGCCTAGTGTGTGCTGTCTCCACACGGGCATATACTTTCCTGTCCCTTCCCATCAGGTGTCCTAGGGTCCATGCATCTAGGACTCTGAGAAGGCTTAGAGTTCCCCCCACTGGGAGATGCTGGGCTGGACTGGTTAGCAGAGTGGTGCTGTGAAAGACGAGCCATGAGCTTGGAGGTCAGGGCGTGGAGCACACGTGTGCTGCGGACGAGTGGGTTCACTGTGTTGATGAAATTAGAGTCATCTATGGAGGGGACATCAGGTGAGGGACTGCCTCCATCAAATCGGCCTCTAGGTGAGTCTCTGGGGGGCATTTTCTTGATTAATAATTGATGAGAGAGAGAGAGAGAGAGAGAGAGAGAGAGAGAGAGAGAGAGAACACAGACCACTGTCAGTGGTGCCAACCCTGAGTGTGTGTCTTGTAAAGGAACAGTCCAGTAAGCCACACTCCTCCATGGCCTCTGTTTCAGTTCCTGCTTCTAGGTTCCTGCTTTGAGTTCCTGCCCTGACTTCCCTCCATGATAGACTATAAACTAAGCTGAGATAAACCCCTTCCTACCAAAGTTGCTATTGGTCTTGGTGTTTTTTCACTGCAGTAGGAAGCAAACCAAGACAACTGAGCTCCTGTGGAAGAAGGCAAAGCTGTGAGTTGGGGGTAGGGCTGGAAGGAGGGAGTGTCAAACAGCGTCTGGTATCAGGAAATCAGCCTGCTCTGAACTTTGCGCATGCTCCGTGGCAGCAGGTCTCAACCTGTGGGTTGAGACCATCAGGAGAACATTGTTCTCATGGTCTTACGAATCCCCAACCATAAGTCCATTTTCACAGATACTTTATAACTGTAATCTTGCTCCTGAGCCTGGTCTCAGTTCCTAAGACCATTGGAGATAATGTTTTCCAATGGTCATGACCCACAGGTTAAGGACCACCGCTCTCTGGAAACTTCCAACAGCTGTGGGGACCTGCTTGGAAAGAAAAGGGGTCCTGAGGGTGAGGTGCTCTAACAGCCTGGCACTGGGCCAGAGACTAAAGGAGGCCCTTTGGAAGTCCTGTGTCTATGTGGCTTCAGGCATAGCTGTGTGAGTTGTCACATGTATTGTATGCAGACTGGCTGTTAGCAGAGTCTGGGTCAAAGCCTGGACCCTGCCAGCCCTAACAAGGTGGGTTCCGCCACCTGTCCTCAGTAGGTCAATGAAAAAAGACAAATTAAACGAGTAGCCTCACCAGCAATTAAAAGAAAAAAGAGGTGCAGGGACCTCAAGTCTAACTTCAGAGTCATGGCCCGAGGCTTAGGTCGCTAAGCAGTGTGGACGAGGTGCCCCATCCACACCCCGCCCCACACTGCTGCCTCACTCCAGTCTTCAGGCAGCCTGACAGGTTGTCAGAACCCTGTGAAAGTGAAATCTCTTTTGCAAGAGACAAGCTCCGCCTCTGGCTGCCTCCAGACTCCAGCCCAGTCTGAGACTCTTGGAGAAATTCCAGTATCTTGGGGGCTCATTGTCTCTATAGTTTGGTAGCTGAAGGGAGGGCCCCCCTGTCTCTACGGAGAATATCTTCATTCCTGCCTAGACAGTTACAGTTGGGAAGCACCTGAGACACCTCCCCCGTGCAGTGTGACCTTTCTTGAAGGGCACTGGCCCAAGACCAGACATACTAGTATGGTTCTAGCTTTGCTGGGCTCTCAAGAGTATGTCTACCTTTCCTGAGCCTCAGTTTTGCCATCTGCAGGATGGATATGCTTTGCCAGTAAGGATCAGCCTGTGGGCTAAGACCACACACCATCAGAGTGACCTGCCACTTACAACGGCCCTGTAGACCCCAAGAAATACATGCTACTGGGTCTTGCTGGGCCTCTGTTTCCTCCAGCTCCCTCTGCCATCTTTGTAGCCTTCAGGGAGATGGCAGTGAAGGGGCTGCGCAGATGGCTTACCCATGAATGATAATGATCTGAGTGGTTCTCGGATTCCAGACCACAGGTTAAGGGGTGAAGCTGCCTCAGTGGCTCCAGCTTTCATGGGGTCTGGAAGATTATCTCTTGGTCATCAGGACAGGATGTCCAGGCTCTGGGTCCTCCCTCAGCCTCTGCCCCCTCCTTCTCTCCCTCCCTCCTTCCCTCCCTCCTTTCCTCCCACCTTCCCAAGCCCTGCCTTCCCCACATCTTCCACTTGCAGTAATGAACATGGCAGCAACATCCTTCCTGCTCAGCTGACCTGGCTGGCTTGGGTCATATGGAGCAGGGTCTGTGTGGGAGTCCTTAGCCAGGGCAAGGGCAGGGTACAGATCCTTGAGGGGGTGAGAAACTTCTGTGGGAGGGGATAGA